AGTCGCGGGTTGTCCGAAGACCGGAAAACTTCAGACGGTCGACCACTCTGCCGCACACACGTCACACGGACGGTCAGCTAATGGAAATTTAATATTTCCATATTACTTCCACCTACACCTCCGCAACCGATCGACCCCTTGACCCGTGCAAGGGCACAGACGCGCAGACGACCGCGAAAATGAAGTGACACGTTAATTCAATACTCGCCCGTCGTACGGCCGTCACATATAATGTTATACGCGAGTATGCGACCCATTTTGCACGAAGGGACCACTGTTCGGGGGGGGGGGGGTATACCTACCCTCCGAGACGGCATCAGAATCCATTACGACGTTACGTTTATACACTGCGCCATGTGTATATAATAATAAAGTGTTGCTGTTTAAATGACACGTCGTGATTGTGACCAAACAATATAATACACTCACTCGGGCTCTCGGCGGCCCTGCCCCGTTTGCCGTGCGCATATTATTATTTCTGTCCATATTGATCGTCGGAGTTCACGGATTTTCGCTTAAACCGAAACGATCGGATCGCAGGTTTTCACTGGGGTTAAAAAATATAGTATAATTTTAGTGTCGCACTCGATCCGATCATTCCTCCGTCGAGGTCAGAGTCCTTTACCTCGTAATATTGTGTTCCAACGCTCTTTACCTATATACCAGTAACCAGTGTACAACCAGTGTCACCGTGTCGCGTGGCGGTCGTAACCGCGAGCGAACGAGTGTCAATCACATACACACACACACACGAACATGCAAATATTGAGCACATGACAATGGCTGCTCAGCCCCGTATCTATATTTCTACTATCCGTCCGAGTTTCGGGTCGTTGTGCACTTGAATATTACCCCCCCCGGGCGTGCGATGAGAAGAAATGAAAATCTATTCTCTTGCGCGCGTACGCGTACAGACTGCGGCGGAGGGCGCAAACAGCACGACGGGGGGGGGGGGGGTGGTTTTCGCTTCCCCCGTATTGTACACAATATAATGTAGTTATTATACGCGTACGTTCGCGTTTGTGTGCTCGAATCGAAACGAGTTCAGAAGAAGAGTAGACAATCACGGGCGCGGGCGACGCAATAAATGACTTCTAAACGAGTCGCGTCGCCTCCCCACGGGACTCGACGACGAAGCGTTTCATCCGAAATGCCGTCGCTCGGAATACTAGAGAAATCCACGGCGCGCGTGTGTGATGTGCAGGGGAGGTGCACGGCCTGCCGAGAGGATTGGGGAAGACGAAATTAAAATAAATGAAAAAAAAAACGTATAATATATGCTTTGCGCCGGTGACGTCGTTTACGCCACGGCGCAGTGATGGATGGCCGCCATCAGTTCAGCGTCTATACCGCTCATCGCTCTTGCAGTGCACACATTATACACGTACGTAATATTATAAATTATTATATTATATATATATACCATCCGTTCGGTTGTCGTTTACGCGGAGTACGTATACGGAGAGCGTACATTGTGCGCCTAAACGTAAATAGGACTCCGCAGCCACTTTTTTTTTTACATAAAATAAAAAAACCCGGTTCTTTCGCTTCCCTGTCCACGCCGCTCAGGGTAAACGCGAGCGCGGTCTGATTTATTTTTAATTTAAATAAACGTCGTCATCAGTCCTGAGGGCCGAGTCTCCGTACGTACATTATATATATATATATATATATATATATATATATATGTATAATACGATCTGTCGACGCGCGCGCTCGTGCGATGATTGGATTGCGAAACGATTTGATCTTCCGGTTTCATTAAAATATCTTTCTTTCTTTCGCGCACTCCGACTCTCTCTGCAGAGCTCTGCAATCTCACTCTCTCCCTCTCTCGTTTTTTCGCCGTCTGCGGAAATTTCTTTCTCGCCGTTTTATTTCCCGTCGAAGACTATATACGTATAATATATTATATTATTGCCTCCGCTCTGGTTATCAATATAGACACGATCTGTTGACGTCATGACCGTCAAGTTGCTACAGCAGGCCTAAGTATCGAAAATCGAGTGAATTAATCTCTATGCGCCCATCGATCATCGCTGCAAGTCAGCCACGACGAGCTCGTCTCTGAGCGTTATTTTCGGTGTAAGACCGTCGTAGCTGCGGACTTGAAGACGCCGTGACCGTGTGGCGGAAATGTTTACCGTCACACAGAAGTTGTACGTAAAAACTCGTTGTACGTCGAGCGAAATTCAATCGCGTTTTCCGGATAAATTAAATGTGTTTCGAAAACGTCGGAAAACAGTTTCGAGAAAAATATTTCTTTGCGCCATTTATTTATATAATATATTTTTATTCACACACGAGCATGCGAGTATTTCTTTTAAACCGTGCGTATCTCGAATCATTCGCTCGGTTTGATTTAATATTTTTAAGAAACGCGGCGTGTTCGAACGCGGTTTCACGGTATTTTCATATTAAACCGTACCCCCCCCCCTCCCCCACTGTACGTCAACGGCTAAATCTTTATGTACACATCGTGCGATATAATAATATTATATACGGCAAAACTTTTCGAATAAACTCATCTCCGCATACATGACTTGATAATTTTCAGCCCGATAATTTGCATCCCCGTCGCGACCGGAAACAAATAAGCGTCCCCCGACGTGTATACAATATTATATGAAATAATACTCGTGTAGTATACACACCAGACAATAACAACACATACGAATGTATATTATACGTAAATATTACATAATATGCACGGTTGGGAACAACAGCCGAACGCAGAAGCCGATATTGAAAACCAGCGGAGGCGATTCGGTCCTTTTTTCGCAATCGAATTTATATTCGACTCGGTAGAGAGAACGGTAGAGGAGCACACTAACTCGAATTTTTACATCCAACAATAATGTTTTGCCGCGCTGTAATTCTATTTGTACAAAGTCAACCGTTCCGCATCCCTCCTCATCCGTCCCTAAATCCTTTCGTTTCATTATACGCGAGCAGAGTATACGGCGCGCTTGATTTTCGAACTCGAATCGTCTCTCCCCTTTGGCCTACACAAAAGAGACTCGATATCCCTCCATCACGCGCGGCTCTTTCTCTCTTTCTGTCTCTATTTTTTTCCTCTCCAAAATCAATCGTTTTCGACTCTAGTCTCTTTCTCTCTCTCTCTCTCTCTCTCTCTCTCTGT